CATCCATCCATCCATCCATCCATCCATCCATCCATCCATCCATCCACTTTTACTTCCACTGCTACAATAGAAAAAAATTGATAAACACTGAAAGCATAAGAGATTAAAGTTAATCAATATTTAATACCTTTAGGTTTTCTGAATTTTAAGAACAAATATGTCATGTAGAATGAGGGAGGCTGCGTGAGCTGAAAGAGCGTTGGCCCATCTAAGAAACTAAATCACATAGAGTTCAAATACATTAAACTACTTTTTAAAGTCTTGAGCCAACTCCATCACACTGGAGGTTTCTTCCTGTTCAAACGGAGTTTTTCCTCTCCACTGTCGCTAAAAGCATGCTTAGTATGAGGGATTGCTGAAGAGTCGATGCAATCAGCTGGTTTTCCTTAGACAGAAAACTTTGAATCAATCAGACTGGGTGATCTGGTGAACTGGAAAGCACCTGGAGATGACTTGTGTTGTGAATTGGCGCTATAGAAATAAACTAAAAACTGAATTCCGTTCCCTTCAGACAGCTGTTTACTGATGTACTGGGAAACAAACCTCCTCTAAATAACCTGGAAATGAGAAAGGAATCCCTGATTTATTTCTCCTGTATTGAATAGCTAAGTAAATATCAAGCACATAGTTTTAAAGTTGATGCTCATAAATTGCTCCTGATGTGGATTGATTTCCCCTGCTTAGTGTTTAGTGCTGAGGCAGAACGCAGCGTGAGGAAAGGCAGGTCTCCTGCAGCACGGCTGGTAAAAAGCCACAGCCAGCAAATCCTGCTGATCTCGTTGAGAGCTTACGGCTTTACAGAGCTGCGAGGGGCTCGGTGCAGGAAGTGGGCTCATTACAGCTCCTCCACGCCCACAGCCTCCTCATTCCCTCCCACCACTAAGCCAACCCAACCCCCCCACACCCCAACCACCTGCGCTAGTCTCATAGGATGCCCCCCCCGACCTCTCTTCTTCTCTTGTACAGCTGCGCTTCTTCACCAAACCGCACTCTCAACGTGCTTTGTTGTTTTACACACCACTGCGTCAACAACAGCACTGATGAGCGGCTTGTTTTGTTACGCTGCCGCATGCAGCTCAGGCCCTCACATTCAGTTTGTTACAATACGTGTTGCAATGTCTAAACGTCCATATTTCTGTATTCAACGCCATGATGTTAGATTTTTATCTTAAACCAACTCTTTATTTAGCCGTACAGATATTGGTTCACTACAAATGTTCAGCTATGATTGTGAAACAGAAATGCACGATTCCCACATGGAAAGTTGGCGTTTCCTCACCAATCCTGACCTATAAATCCAACATGGCTGCCTCGTGCATAAAGAAGGGTTTTAAACTTTACAAATGCGGCTCTGCTCTCAGCTTATTGCCGTTCTCTATGCTGCTACAGTGTTGTTATCACGTTTTAAAGCTGATAACAGTTGCCTTGGTAACAGAGCCAAAAAGCTTGGATTAGAGCTGCGACCTCCTGGAGCTGAAAGCATCACTTCAGGTGGTTCAGGCATTTCATCCCATGTCCGGCTTTGAAAATTCCCCTGGAATATGAAGAAACCTTCAGCCAGGAGGATCTAACAGAGGCTCCCAACATCAGAATCATGATGTGACTAAATATCTCATTAAATACACAAATGTCAATAAATACATTCACCAGTAAAACAAATAGATCTCACATTTATTTATTTAACTAAAACATGATTTACATAAAACATATCGCATTTAATATAAAAAAATTAACAACTAAATAATTAAAGGTTCCCACCCCCTCAAAAAATAAATAAAGATATTTTTAAATGTCTTGAATAACAAAATATTATTCATAAATACTATTTTTAAAGGTAATAACCTTGTAATAACAATGTAATAACCTTACATTTTATATACACACATATATGTATGTGTATATCTAATTATATATGTATATATGTATTTAGATATAAATACATATATATGGTATATATGTGTATATATATCTATATATATATAGATAGATATATATACACAAATATATTTGTATAAGGGCTGCAACTAAAGATTTTTTAGAAATCAATTAATTATTATTTTGATTCGATATTTCGATAAATCTATATTCTTTTATATCGATGTTTTTAATTGATTGATAGTCAGATAGACTAAATGTTCTCTAAAGAAGACTTTTTTAATGAAATTAAACCAGGTTAAACAAAACATTTTACACTTTATGAGTTCTGGATAGAGAATATTGACAGACGAAAATATTTTTTTAACCTTAAATGCAAAATGTTTTATATATTTTTGTACAATTTTGCTCTGAGTGGTTCGCTCTCTCAGCTGTAGGCATGTTTTAGAGTCTCTATACTCCAGTTAATAATGAATCATTGCTAAATTAGTTAAATTAGATATTAGTAATTAGTTATTAGTTAAATTAGATATATAGATTGGGGGTAACAGGTCTACAGTCCATTGTCTTTGCTGTGATATGATGTTTTATAGATTTTTTAAAATGACGATACAATATTTGCTGAACATAAAGCTCAGTTCTATTTACAAATCTATATTCGTTAATATTTTAGGCTGCCCATCTGATAAAATTAATTCAAGATAGAAACAGAAGATAAACAGAAAATGTTCCAGCTGCTAACGAGATGGAAGCTGGTTTTAAATGAGCTTTATATTTAACAGGCTTATTTTAGACCAGCAGATCTATCATATAATGAAGCTGAACGTAGGTTCAGATTAAACAGCGATGATTAAAATCTAGGGTAAAATCTCTACATGCTCAGCTGTGCTTAACTATAAACATTTCCAGTGCTGTAATCAGTTACATATAATTATGCTCTCGATTTGAAGGAAATCAGTCTGCAGGAGGAAGAAAGCACTGATGAGCGCGGCATTAGTGACAAACATCTTACTGTTTCATTGTTCGCTCTGCGATGTCAGTGAGCAGAA